ATGCATGAAGATTAAGCGTGCACTCTCAATAAACATACATAAATAGGTTATCAATCAAATAGTTAAACAATAAGGAAATGGTTTAAGTGTTTAAAAAAAAGGTAACAAAGCCCTTCCTTGCATGGCAAGGAAGGGAGACACAAGGAAACACACGGCATTGTCCTAAGGTTGCAAGGAATGTTGTTTTTGTGTTCTAAAATGCGTAGGAGTCTTCAATGTTGCTCAAACATGAGGTCTTTTAGGATTTAACTTTCCTACTTCAAGTCTTCAATTTTGTCCATCCTCTTGGCTCCAAGCATATGATATCCATTCCAATCTCCAATTTGCTCCAAAAAGGCTCCAAAAGGCATCCTTTTGCATACTTTGCCCTTAGAACCTGAAAACACACAAAAGAAGCATAAAGGACTAAAATGACTAAAGAAACATAATGTAAATGCACGAGAACAAGCCATTTAAGTCGCATGAATATGCTCCTATCACCTATCTCTAGGAGTGAGGAGGTTCCTAGCTACTATCGTAGCTGTTGTTGCATCCTTCATCACGGAGTCTTCACCTGTAAGAGGGTCATTAGAAGATAAGAAAGACGAGCACCATACATTACCCTGACGCGGCGCACCCGTATCACTGCTGAGACTCAAATCTAAGCAAATGTTAGATAGGTTAGCCATTTCCAAAGGTGTTAAAAGAGAAGGGTTGGATGGAGTAAAATCTCAAAGGGCCGTTAAAATAAAATACACCGGAGACGATTTTCACGAATGGGCAATCTTCAAAGTGTGCATGTTGGAGGTGATTGATACCTCTATAAAAGGAGAGGCGACACAACCACCGATTCAAAAAAATTGAAGAGACACCACTCTTCAAATCTTAAAAGCCGGATTTTCCTGCGTAAAGTTCGGCAACGCTCTTCAGACACAATCTCGGCTTTTCAGATAATGCGTGCAACTTTGTCAAAGATCTCTGACAAAGTTGAAAACGCGTGGAGGTCATTATCCCAACTACCACACTTTTGCCGACAAGCGTGGGTGACAAAGCCGCATCCGCACTACTACTTGCCATTAAAATTTCTATATATGTCAACATTCATGGCAAGGCATACATCCAAAAACGCATGACTCTTCTTCTAGGCCGAGAATGTAGCTGCAACCAAACCTCTCAACATGCTCAGTTTTCTTCTTCCCTTGAGAACACCTATTCAACCAAGTCTTCGAGGGCAAACGTATCCCATATCATTAGGGTCGAAAGCAAGAGTGTCTCATAGCATGCCTTTCCCTCATCCTTTCTTTTGTTCTTGTTCTTCCCTGAAAGACAAAGAGAGAGAGAGAGAGATCAGTCGACACTTGGAATCAAGCTTCCCGTTTGGAGCCGACTGCCTGGAATCTCTTCCCTGATTGCTTATCCAACCCTGCTCTCAAGTACTCATCTTCAACTATTGATGTACCCCCAAAGAAGATGCCAAATGCCTAGAGTACAGATGAGGCAGGAGGAAACGATAGATCGAAGCATGTGGAGACAAGCACAACAAATATATGTGCTGATTCATTCGCTGCTTCTTCAAAAGCAAAAGTATCTCATATCATTAAGGGCGAAAGCAAAGGTATCTCATATCATGCTTTTTCCCTGTCTTTTCTTTTGCCCTTGTTCTTGCCTCCAAGACAAGGAGAAAGAAAGCAATCAGTCGGAACCTGAAATCAAACTTCTGATCTGGAACTTATTACCCAGAACCTTTGCCTGGTTGCTTACCTAGCGTTGCTCTCGAGTGCTCGTCTTCAACTGTTGGTGAGTCTTGAATTCCCTCAGCGCAGACTTCAGGACAGGCGACGAAGTGTCGGCTCTTTACACTAAAGCTGCTAAGCATAGATGAATTGCTGAGAAGTGATGCCTTGAAAGACCATTTAAAGGCAAAGGGTTGCGCACCACCTCGACTATGTAAAAGAAACAAGCAGAGAAGAATGCGGTACAAGGAGCTGGAACAAACTGCTGGAACACGACGCCTTCCCCTGCAGCACCATCCAGACAGAAGAGTTTAAGTTAAATCCAAGCTCAACATCATTGTTCTAATCAAATAGCTCGAGAAGCCTCAACAACCCTCCGCTGGCGCCCTCACCAAAGAGCGGCACCACCTGCAAAAGACGCCGTTAAATCGTCAACACTTCTTCAAAAAGAAAAAGTATCTCATATCATGCTTTCTCCATGTCCTTTCCTTTGTCCTTGTTCTTACTCGCAGGGCAAAGAGAAAGAGAGCAATCAGCCAGCACTTGGAGTCAGTCTTCCGATCTGGAACCGACTACTTGGAATCTATTCCCTGGTTGCTTACCTAGCGTTGCTCTCGAGTAGTCATCTTCAACGGTTGATACACTTCCAGAGAAGGGACCACATCTGCTTGGAGAACAGCTAAGACGAGTGACAATGAAACATCAATCTTGTGGATCGTCAGCAAACGCAACAACTGCATATGCTGAGTCATCCTCTAACCTTCTTCAATATGAATTGGAAAGATTGAACAAAGAAACAGGTCATCACCTCCACCTCGTGCTTGCCTGCCATGTGTCTGAATCCTGAAACCGCTCATGGTCCTATTTTCACTCAAGATCAAGCATCGATGGCCCTTGAAGAAATCACAAGCCCAATTCAAAATCAAGTGTTCTCCACCCTTGAATCAAATTCAACTCCAGATAAAAGGAGTAAGTTCAGACCTTCGAGGGAGACCAAAAGAATCCTCCAGCCCAGTTCAAGACTAAGCCTGTGGAAAATCAACGATTGGAGGAAACCAGAAAATCTTCCAGTCGAACTCAAGATCAAGCCTCGATGGCCCTTGAAGAAATTTCCAGCCCAATTCAAGATCAAGCATCGATGACCCTTGGGTTGACATCTACATTAAGGGACTTCAAAATGCATCTTCTACACGTGACAAGCACATGTCTATGACGCGCCTTGAAGTGGGGGCATTTGTAGACATCGAAATTTCGGTGAAACAAATGTTCACCAACGTATTAAAGTTTTGACGTGTCAGGGCATACATGGCATACACCACGTGTCGTACAAATTGTACACATGGCATGTGACTCAACAAAATAGGAAGAAATACCCTTGGATGATTAAACAAGTTTTTCTTCTCAATTTGGGCAATGACAAGGTAAGCACATTTCAATCCATTACGGATCAAAGCAAGTTTTTCTCATTTGGGCAATGACAAAGCAAGCACATTTCAAGTTTAAAATTGTATTAAGTGGGAAATTAGGCCATAAATAAGACCACTTCAATTTCAATATTGCATTAAGTGGAAAGTTAGGCCATTTGTTAGACCACTTCAATTTCAATATTGTATTAAGTGGGAAATTAGGCCATAAAGAAGACCACTTCAATTTCAATATTGCATTAAGTGGAAAATTAGGCCATTTGTTAGACCACTTCAATTTCAATATTGCATTAAGTGGGAAAATTAGGTAATAGTGCTTGGGTGGGAAAATTTTGTGGTGGTGATTCACTCTCAAAGCCTATAAATAGGCTTCTCCATCAAGAGGAAAAAAACACCAATTCACAAATACATTTCTCTACACACCAAAACCTTGAAGCCTTAAAGTTCTAAAGCTCTCAAGAAAATCCCGAAGGATCAAGAAAGCACACTTCGTTCTTCGTCAAATCCTCCTTCAAGATCAAGCCCCAACGGCCCTTGAAGAACTTCCACCAACTCAAGATCAAGCCCCGACGGCCCTTGAAGAAAGTGTTCATTGTTCATCATCCGTTCATCCTAAGATCAATCCCCAACGGCCCTTTGGATCAACAACATCAACAAATCCACACATCCAACCATTCTTCAAGATCAAGCCCAAAAGCTCTTGAAGATCCGCTCATCCATCAACCTTCAAGATCGAGCCCCAACGACCCCTTGAAGAAAGTGTCCATCATTCATCATCCGTTCATCCTAAGATCAAGCCCCAACGGCCCTTTGGATCAACAACCTCAACAAACCCATACACCCATTCTTCAAGATCAAGCCCAACGCCCCTTGAAGATCCATTCATCAACTGTTCATCCTTAGATCAAGCCCCGACGGCCCCTTGGATCAACAAACAAATCCACACATCCATTCTTCAAGATCAAGCCCAAAAGCCCTTGAAGAAAACCAATTGTTCATTCAAGATCAAGCCTCGACGGCCCTTGAAGAAAACCAACCGTTCTTCAAGATCAAGCCCAAAAGCCCTTGAAGATCCGCTCATCCATCAACCTTCAAGATCAAGCCCCGAAGGCCCTTGAAGAAACTTCCATCAACCTTCAAGATCAAAGCCACGAAGGCCCTTGAAGAAACTTACAACTGTTCATCCATGATCAAGGCTCGACGGCCCTTGGATCAACAAATCTACATCTTACGGAGATAGAATCAGAGGATCAAATTACAAAGAGATCGTAACCCCAAAATCATTAAACACACAAATATTATTTTGTACACGTATTCTTGTTTCTTGTTTTCAGGAATTTTCCGTGTTCACAGCTATAGGAAAAGAAGCCAATCATTCAGAAAGTAGAATAATTCTTATTTGTCTTGATTTCATAGGACCAATTTACCGTAATTTGCTATCATATTTGGCTTATCATGAATACCTCCAAAAACTAGTGTTATGTTTGATTTAAAAGTGGATACTATTGCTATGTTTTTTATGATTTAAATGTGGATATTTAATGATGAAATTAGTATCCATTATAATGTGTCAGTTGTACGAATAATTTTTTCACATTTACAAAGACAAATGAATATAACCATTTATCAATGAGAATTTGTTATCCGGTGGGTAAGGTTATGGATAATACCCAAATTTTCTTTGAGTTTTAGTAGTGTTTATTTTATTTTTTTTGAAACATGTAGTGTTTAATTTCCTTTGCTAAATTCTTTTAAGCATGTTTGCTGTTTATTTCTTACGGAGAGGAGGTAGTTCAGCATGTTAAATGGAAGCAAAGTAGAAAGCCAAAGTAGCAAAACTATCTGTTGGACAAGGACGCCAAAAGAACGAAACGAAGATCATTCCACGGAGAAAAATGAAAACCACAGAAGGAAATGGACATGACATGTCTGTCCCCATACCCCTAGAAGTTTCAACACACGCAAATGGCCAGACTATCTTTTTCCATTTTTGTTAGAGAAAATAGGCAAAATTTGTCGAGTCAATTCCAAGTTACAAGGAACAAACTATATTATGTGCAAACAGCCCACATTATGCTCTTTGTGCAACCTAACTCCTTGAGGAGTCAACTTCCTCAGACTAGTGCTCAGTTCACAACTTCACATCTACTGCAAGGAAACTGAGTAGCTAGCTGCCATTTTTCTCATCACCATGGTCCTCCGTTTACACGTCCAGATGAGCCCTTCATCTTGCTCCATGAAAGCAAAGCAACGACTAGTATCACTCAGTATAGATCACCGTTGTCTTCCCTTTTCTTATCCGGTCATCTACAACTGAGAATATAAACATAACAGAAAAAAGATAAATTCGATGACCAATACATCCCTTATAAAACGAGGAGCCAGTATTTCTTCCACAATCTGAGCATAACGCAAATGGTACGAAGAACAGCCCTCATCACCAGTGAAAGTAGATTTAAACTTCTGATTTCTGGCAAAAATCTGCATCACTCGACTCCATATGTCATACAGAACACAAAACCGGCTGCAAATTGATAATTGATTCACCAAATCCATGCCCCTGATGGTCAAATAATAAGGTAAATCAAACAACCATTACATATCTTTCTCCAATGCAGCACAACGAATCAAGGAAACTATCAAACAACCATTGCATATCTTCCTCCACTGCAGAATAATGAATCAAGGAAACTATCCGAACCAGAAAAACAAGCACGGTACAATGTTTGAATAAGGCTCCTATCCATAAATATATCTTCAGTGAACATGACACATCTAAATCAGATAAACTTGGTTTCTGCAGGGAAGGTTGAGTCAATACACATTTTTTCCCATAATTTGGAACTCAGAAAGAATGTATACATGAGAAGACTCCAATGCAGAGTGAGAAAACTTAGAAGGTTCAGGCTGAGAAACATTACAAATCAAATTCACATCTAACTCCTTCCAATGACGTGACATACATAATTCACATCTCGCACTCGTAGGTTCAAGATGAGAAACAATTTAGGAACTGGAAACTACGATGTAGAATAACTTAACTTTGAAGGAAGCAATAAAACTTGGTATGAAACATGTATTTTCCATTGTACCAGGATCAACACATATATCTTCCTGTGTTTTCATGGCCAGGCTAATTTCTGACAGTATACTTAGCTGCTAGCTTCCTACTTCAATGGTATCTGTTCTCCTAAATATATTCAAAATGAACCTCTTTGCAGGCATGCAGCAGATGTAGCTAGGTCCAGTTTCCGAAGCAAATTACAAGGAGACAATTTTCTAAATACTACCAGAAAACCAAAAAGGAAAAAGTGATGCATATTCTACAATAAGCATAAAGAAGTAAGATATAACAAAAATCAGAATTTCTAGCAGTTAATCTTAGTCCTAGCATTGCAGAAGTCAACACACAACATTGATAAATGTACCATAGAGAGATCAATCTATCAAGATGTCAAGAGCTAAGATTGGATATATTCAAAGAGAGAAATCTAGATATTGTGATTGTAATTCCTATCATTGGTATACAATCACATGGACAAACTTTGCAACTAGATATCATCACAACAAGGGAAATTAAGTAATTGTCATTATAATCCTTCCATGATTTCTACATTGTTAAACAGTCAGAAGGTCAAAGTTAGCGGAGGAAAAATAATGGCTAGTAGCTGAAGACACAAATCCTAAAATGGTTTCTCTTGCTTTAAATTATAAGCCGTGTAAACAAGCTAAAGAACAAAAAAATCAACATAGAAAGAAAGAAACATGGAGAAAATTTCAAGCAACAATAACCCATTTACAGAGCAAACACAAGGAGGCCAATCGGAGCAGCCACCTATCCTCCAATCCATTTGCAGTTCATATAGATTTGTCTTTGATTCATATACTGCTGCCCATTCACCAAAGAATCGCAATTCAATAAAGCCCCACTCTTATGTGCTCAATCGAAGAATTTCCAATCCAATAGTAGCTCCAACTACAATGCGCTCAGTGAAACAAAAGAATTTGTGCGAAATCTGTTGCCAAAATATTCAAGAACAAGTCTCATATCTATCCTAGACTTTTAGAAGCTGCCTTCTCTTGAAAACCAAGAACCCAATAACACCAATCTGAAGAATGGCAGCTATACCGACAAACAACTGTCCAATCTTCTTCCCCTTATTGTAATTGTGCCCTCGATGGGCTGGCGGAGGATGTCCAAGTCCAGCATTTATAGGCTTCTGCCTCTTATGAGGTGGGGGCGGGCTCGGAGATTTTGGCCGGGATGGCGAGTTCAGAGATTCTGGGGGAGGCGTTGTGTTTGTAGATTCTGGTGGAGGCGAGGTCAGAGATTCTGGAGGTGGCGGGGACAGAGATTCGGGAGGTGGCGGGGACAGAGATTTGGGAGGTGGCGGTGACAGGGATGCCGGGGGAGGTGGTAATGGAGGTGGTGGAGATGGTGGCGAGGGAGGTTGCGAGAGGGCATCCCCAACATTTTGAGATTGAGTCTCGACAAGAAGAGCACAAAGGCTAATAGCAAACCCCAAAACCACAAAGACTAAGCTTGAAAATGGCGGTTCCATCAAAACAACGGCCACAGGATTTGCACTCTCAAGGCAAATTAGGCCTTGGATTAGGGTTTCCAGAGAACTCTCGCATCTGGGTCTAATCCAAAATTCCGAGGCTCTGAATTCAAAGAACAAAAGACAGGGAATACCTTAGGGTTTCTGAATCTGAGCAGTTTCCGGATCAGTTCCTCTGCGATTTTCCCTTCCTTTCACAATTCGACCAAAAGGGTCAAATGGGTCCGGCCCCAAACGCTCGATTTCTTCCGCCTGGGGCCTGCCTCAGAAATCTAGGTTCCTGACAGATTTGGTCCCCAGGGGTCTAGGGTTTTTGGGATGAACTCAATTGACCTTGTTCCAGTCCGGATCGTTGCGATTTAACCTTCAGGAGAATCAAAACAAATTGGTCAAATGGTGGATTGGTCAGAAATGCTCGATTCCAAGTTCAAATTCGTTGCAAAAGGGGAAATCATTTGGGCAAAGGAATCGTGGGTGTTTGGGATTTTGCTCGAGAATTAGAAGAATGAGTCAAATGGATAGTTGGAACGTATAATGGGGGAAGAGTTGGTTCTTTTTCTGTGTGATCTTCGCCACCTTCTCAGAAACAGAGACGGATAGCGAGAAGACAGCGAAGGCAGGGGGTAGAGAGAGAGAGAGAGAGTCTACGCGGGCTTCAACGGTTAGGCTAATTTTGGTGAATGATTGCCTAGGAAGAATCTTTAAGCTGTTTCTCAACACGAGAGAGAGACAGAGAGGGAGAGAGAGTGTGTGTGTGAGTGCAGCGTTGTGACTTGACAAATGGTGTGCTGTCCTGGTGAGAAAACAAATTTAAAACGAGGAGGATTCCCTATTCTTCTATTTTATTCTTTTTTATTCTTTTTTTTATATATTGTTTTTTATTTTATTATTTTTATAAAAAAAATCAATATAAGATATTGACGTGGTTTAACCATAACCGTTCAAATAGGAGGGCATAGAGGGGTAGAAAGATTAGGAAGGTAGAGAATCCTCCTCCAATTTAGAGAGGCCTATGCATTACTTTCTCTCAGGGCTTTGATGGTGTTGTTTATCATCTTATTTATTATTGTTAAACAATTTTAAATTTTAAATTTGTATAGGGAATAAACATAAATTTCAATTTTTAAACTCATACAATAGTAATAAGTAAGGTGATTAGTATTACTCCCACAATAAATTTGTAGACGCTAGCCAAGCATTATGAACGCCCTCTTTGTTACACTTTCTTAAGAGGAACAATACTAAGACTATGTATTAAGATGAATGAGACTAGTTATGACTCGTCTAGATTCTAGTGTTGTTATTTAATCTCAAATTTTAACTCAGTACTAATTAGGATTATTATCGCTTTTCCACTGACCCCAGCCTCACCACAACCTAAAATTACATAATTTGATTTATGAACCATTTGAATTAATCCAACACGAGCCTTATGTTGGACCTTGGGTCTAGAGAGTGTAGTTGATTTAGTTAAGCGTTCAATCCAATTAAACAGTTATTTCCTATTGGATGTTGGACCAACTATTCCAATTTGCATGCATACAAACAATAAATGAATGCTTGAAATAAAGAGAAGGGCTTATGCCCTTTTACATCACATTTGAACTAATTAATTATTTCAAATCTAATTAACACTTCTAATTCATTCGACTAATCACATTGCTCAATTATCGTAGGCCTTTAGTTAATAATCACTCATTTTCATAATTAATCACATTAACTAAGAAAACAACTTAAATAGTTGGTTCTTGAATCCACAGAATTGATTTAAATAGAGCTAAATGAAATGAAAACCAAACTCTTATTAAAGAGATAAAACTATTTTGTGCTCTAGATGATTTGGGCTTAAATACAATAACCTCAACTATTGGGCTATTATGCAAAACGCAAACTTTTGGGGCCACTTTGTAAGAACATAAGAGTCCACAATTTCATGTAATTACAAATGGAAATTTCAACAATTACAAAAACTTCATTAAAAGAGCAAAACAAATTGTCCTTAGTGATTTTAGGCCTTTATGAAAGAATATAAATTTTTGGGTCAAAGTGCAAATGCGCAAAAATATTAAAATTTATAATAATTGCATGAAAGACCAAAAAGTACCTACTTTAATAGAGTGGGCAATTTTGACACTGTAAAGAGAGGGTTTGGCTTTGTGAAAATTCAAAATTTAAAGTGTGAGGAAAAAGTTTGATGAATGGAAAGTACAAAAATACATCACACAAAACAAGACAAACAAAGCTTAAGGTAAACAACCAAAAACTTTGAATCACAACACGCATTTTTGTTCTTGGTAAGAACATAAAGAACAAAGTAAAAACACTGATGAACATCCATGAAAACTCATAAGAGCTCTATGAATGTGTTCACTCAACAAAGTCAAAGTTACACTACTCAGGAAAGGGTTAACATACTTAGGTACTTAGGGTTCCTAATGTCACTTTAAAACTCTTTTAACAAAATAAATATGAGCCCAAAGATCCACCCCATGGATTTGGCCGAATTTCTTTACAAACAAGGTACCAAATTTTAATTCCAAAATTTATGCTCAAACAAACTACATCTAACTTTTAAGATGGAAAATTTTCAAGTAAAATTTACATTCAAAGAAGTAAGAATAAAGGCTGTAGAATTACAACATTCAATCATAAAATATGAAACACAAAACTCAAATAGATTCACGAAACACTAGACTAGGCTCTGATACCACTTGAAGGAAAGATTTTGTCATAATTAAGAACATTTGGGCATATAAGCATACATATAATACTATAAAGTAGGCATGCACTAAAAACAGTTTTATAACCCATGACTTTCAAAGCCTAGTGAATGGTCTGTAAGTCTCTCGTTAAATTAAAGAGGAGAGAGTTAGAGCTTTCATTACCCTTAAGGTCATCCTTGATTGCACAAGGATTCACCCAAGTGGACTTCAAGTTCACTCCAAGCTCCTTGAATGTTTCCTTTTGTTTGTGTTCTTCTCTCCTTGGATGGCTGCTTCTTTGCTTCTCCTTTGCTCTTTGATAATTTAAGGAAAGAAACTCCAAAGTTTGCCTAGAAAGAAATTGATGCTAGTAAGAGAGAAAATAGAGTGGTTCACTATTTTGCCCTAAGAAACCCTAATGAAGGAAATACTATAAAGTCAATTTTATACCTCCATTCATTTGAGTGGTATACTTGTAAATAAGCTCACTCACTTAATTAACTTAAAAGGACAATAAGAACCTTCTGTATGAATGAACAAACTAATTAATTAATCCTTGACCATGCTTAATTAACATATTTAATGGCATATCCATCTCATTGATATTTCTTCATATTCATCATTACTAGGTGTATGATCCATTAGGTTCCAATTAGCGAGGCAGTGGGAGATTATAACTCTTAACAATCAATTGTGAATTTAGACTAACTTTCAATTCTTCCTTGGTTGAAGATTAGTGTTTGCTAATCTTCAGGGCTTCCATAAACTATAAGCGACACCTAGCAGTATGTCATGGTTACCCAAGCTAAGCAGAAGTGGTTGGAGAACCTATCCAATTACAACTATAATGCAATACAGTCATTCTCTAACTTAATACTCTTGACCATATTATTTAACTGATTGTTTGTTTTATGTCTATTATCCAATGTGATACTTCTCTATATGATTCCATTGGGTGTGATTTGGAACGTACTTCCTAAATCTCATTCATATGTTTTGGCCAAAGACTTTTGAATCATATCTCAAAGTATTCTCCTTACACCATAAAATGTTAGAGACCCTTTGTTGTACATTCACATGTTTACATGACTAGGTAGCTTAACCTCAACAGTTCCATGAACATTCTCAATGGATGCCTTTGACACGGTCAAAGATCAAGGGCCAAACCACTAGACAACTATGATGCCTTAGGTCAATTGGCTACTTTTACATTATTGCAACTTATGAGTTCTTACATGACATGTATCTTAGTAGTCTCTCTTGGTCGTTGTTCAATGTACTTAATACCCTTTTAAGTACCTATGTGTTTGTTTCAATGTCTAACACTTAATGACTTGAGGCTAGTCATACTCCTGCATGAGGTAACATAACACATTAATCTAACTTACTTAGTGGATTGTCAATGTTCAATTGGCAAATCCTATGGCTAGGAACATTTTAGGAATGAACATATGAGAAAAGTCTCATTAATCTAACTTACTTAGATCACTTCTCTCTGAGGTTGAATACATTCCTTAGATTCTGTTATTGCTTTAACACATGATACCATAAATAGTGATTAACAGTAAGCTTTGCCTTTCATTAAACAAATAAGAGTCTAACATGATGAGTATTCCAAAAATTATTATATAGAATGAGTGGCTTTCTGAGTATACTTCCAATACACTACTCTAGCCACCTGAAAACGTCATTTTCTTCTCCTTTTTTCCATAACTCCAGTATTGAATGTCTAATTATCAAAGCAACGTAATTTAGTGCATTTAACCAATTTGAATATACAAAATGCAAAGAAAATATATGATGAAACATCACCCTGCTTCATTTTTGGAATAAATCAAAATATCATCAGTAAAGACAATCACGAACTGATCCAGGTATTGTTGAAAGACCCTGTTCATCAGATCCATGAAAGTTGTTGGAGCATTTGTTAACCTTAAAGGCATAACAGAAATTCGTAATGTCTATATCAAGTCTTGAATGCTATATTCGGTAGATCCTCCTATCAGATTAATAACTGATGATATCCGAACGACAAATTAATTTTTAAAATATCGGTGTAGCTTAAGCTGATAAAAGAGATCATCAATACGAGGCAAAGGATAAATATTTTTTACCGTCACCCAATTAAGTTGCCTATAATCAATGCATAGTCTCATGGTACCATCCTTTTTCTTCTCAAATAAGGCAGGAGCTCCCTAAGGTGAAATGGTAGGGTCTGATGAAACCTTTATCAACCCACTCCTGAAGTTGAGTCTTCAATTCTTTCAACTTAGCTATAATCATTTTATACGGTGTTAAGATATAGGATCGGTACCTATAATTAAAACGGTAGTGAACTCAACTTCTCTCTTTGGGCGTAACCCAGGCAGATCCTCAAGAAAGATGTTAGAATATTCATTCA